ACTCTAATCACTGAGCTACAGGACTCCACACCAGGAAACTTCAGTCGACTGGAAGGATAACACAGCATCACAGTCCAGATGCAATGAAGATGAAACGCTATAATGATTTATAAATTTATAATAATAGTACCAGGATAAACTGAATGCAGTATTCCGCTTCATTTAAACCACATTAAATGGCCTCTGTAAAGCGTTCTAATTAATGTTCCATTGTGGTTCCTGTTGCCCAGGGAGTGGTAATAATAATAAATACAAGTCTACACCAAAGTCCAGACTGCCATCTGCGTTATTAAATGAGAGTGGAGCTGCTGTAAAATGCCATGGTCAACATTCCAACACTTAAGCTCGGATCCTCTGCAGGATCCTCTACAGCCTACAGGAGAAGTTTAAATTGCTTAAGTCTGCCCACAACATACTTGTACAGTATTTACACAGTGCTCTATACACAACAACTGAACATGAACTTATCGCAGTGCAAGAACAGTCAGTAACTATGAATTTGGTAGACACAGAATCAAATTCCTGCTGTCTAGAATAACCTATGACTGTATTTCGTGGGCAAAACGCGGCAGCCAATTGCGCACAGCAGCGTCCCACAAACAGTAGTAAATAAGTAAATAATTTCAGAAATACAACTACTTTAAAAGTCACAAGGATTGTTTCTTTTCTCGTAAGCTTATATTCTGTGAAGCGCTTTGAGACTCTAGAAGTGAAAAGCACTATATCAAATGCAAGGATTATTTGTTGTTATGTCTGCCGCAGTAATATATTTTATGATGAGTAAGATTCTGTGAATAAATGAGTGGGTGTTAAGGTTCATCCTGGGTCTTTGCGGTTAGTGACCAACACGTGGAAACATTAACCAGATGTTGCTGATGAGGAACTTTTGGACAATCATTGATCTGTGGTTTTCACTTGAGATAACATTGGTTCCAGTCCTCGTTCCTGATTGACCCTAAACCTAACCCTAATCCTCCTCACTCACTCCAGTGCTCCCTGAACTGCCAGAATTTGATAAACGTTTAATTGCTCTTAATTTTGTAAAGGTTTCATGTAAAAATTACAGAACAACATTTTCAAAATTATGATAAATTCTGAAACGCTGAGAAAATGGAGTAAGTCTAGACCGAGATGCAATTTCTCCCCTGTATTTATTATAAACCATTGCAGTTGGAGTGTGTTATATAAACACTGACTCAATATTCTCTTTCAGTCCTTTTTCACCAGTAACTCTCTGTAGTGCTCCTGTGGAATCATTTCAGCTTTGCAAATTACTTTGATGTGTGAACCAAATTCCTCCACTGCATGTTGAGACTTCATTGCACTGCAACCAACCCCCACACGCATCAGCCGCCCATTCACTGCCACAAACTGCTGGCAATTTGCTTTCTGCTCACAACACCCGAACCATTGTCATGGAAAATGGTATTTAAATACCGGCCAAGTTCCCATGTTACACTCATAATAAACAACAGTTGCTGAGCTCCCACAAGGTACTTCGTTCTTCAATAGGAAACAGCTTTATTCTTCACTCTCACTCTTTTGCCTAAAGCTTCATCCTAATGTATCAGATTGTTTTTGGGGAGGGGGGGTTTGGGGGGAAATGTTAATTTACTGTTTGTGACGTTAATTCTGGGGAACCAGCAAACAAAGTACTTGTAATGAATTTGCATTGTAAAGTGAATTGATTGTACATTTTGTGGGATTTTTGCCCACAATATACACAGTCAATTCACTTTACAGTATATTGTGAAGCGCTTTGAGACGGGTCGAAGACGTAATAAGGCATTACATCAAATTAAATGATTATTACTATTGTTTACTGACTATAGATTGGTCCGAAAACAAAGGTTTTTAAAACTAAAGAGGTGGAAAATATTTACAAAACGTTATCATGTTAAAAGTGTCCTTGAATATGTAGCAAGTTGCCAAATCAAACTCCATTGGTTCCTGTTTCTCTGCAGGAATTGTTGTTTACATGTGATGATGATCAGCAATGTTGCAGGGTTGGGTAAGCAATCATTCTAAATCCCATCAAACGCCAATGTAAACAGCAGATCTTCTAATCCTCCTCCACTCGCAAAATTGTTGACGTACATTTACTGAATTCAATTTTGATACTGAAATACGCTAATAATAATAATGCTTGCATTTGATGTAGCGCCTTATCACGTCTTTGCGACATCTCTAATCTGTTGTAGGTGGAAATGAGATTAACATAAATGTTTGTGGTTCACTATGTAACTGCCAAATTACTTTGGAAATAATTTTAGTTACTTTGGAGGGTGTCTTATGACTTCAGGCTGTTCATCTTCCTAGTTTGTGTATGTTATTTCTCCCAATCCAAGACAATGAATTCATGCTTCAGCTGTAGGGTTGGGCAGCAAACGTTCCAAGCTCTCTGTCTCACCCAACCTATTGCTCACTGCTTATTGGTGCACAAGAGGGGATTTCAACCATCTGCTGTATAGTTTTCCTTCTAAGCTTTGCGTCATGTTGTATTAACAATAATAATCGTTTCATTTGATATAGCACTTTATCGTGTCGCTGAGACGTCCAAATCCCTGACTGTTCAGTGCCTTGGGACGTCCTCCCGATGTGAAAGGCGCTATACAAATGTAATTTGTTGTTGTTGTCTCAAAGCACTTCATGGGAATTGCAGATTCCAACACACATCCTGTCCTGTTCCTCTGTGGAGGCTGTTGGCATAATCAAATATGTGAGATGGGTTTCCACCCTGTGGGATAGAGAGGAACTACCATCAATTTAACAATGATTTCAGAAAAGAAACCAAATGAGCAGAAACCATTTTCCCAGTGGTTTGGGCAAGAAAATATTTGACATACACACGTACATGTACATAACAACAACAACAACAAGATTTCATTTATAGAGCGCCTTTCACGTCGGGAGGAAGTCCCAAGGCGCTGGACAGTCGGGTCAGGACCTGAGCCTTGGGGGGAAACGGTCAGGGTGAGGGGAGGGAAGGGAGGGAGCGAGGAGGGGGAAATGGTCAGGGTGAGGGGAGGGAAGGGAGGGAGCGAGGAGAGGGGAAATGGTCAGGGTGAGGGGAGGGAAGGGAGGGAGCGAGGAGAGGGGAAATGGTCAGGGTGAGGGGAGGAAAGGGAGGGAGCGAGGAGAGGGGAAATGGTCAGGGTGAGGGGAGGGAAGGGAGGGGGCGAGGAGGGGGTAGAGAGTTGAGAGGGGAGGTGAAGGCTGAAGGTACGGTCAAAGAGAATGGTCTTTAGACCGACCTTGAAGGAGGAAAGGGAGGAAGCGGCGAAGGGGGAATGGAGTTCCAGAGCCTCGGGGCTGAGAGGCTGAAGGCCCGGCCACCGATGGTGGGGCGGTTGGGGCGGGGGATGTGGAGCAGACCGGAGCCAGAGGAACGGAGGGTACGGGCAGGTAGGTAGGGGGATAGTAGGTCAGAGAGGGAGGAGGGAGCGAGGCCGTGAATGGCCTTGTAGATGAGGATGAGGATCTTGAATTCGATCCTCTGGGGGATGGGGAGCCAGTGGAGGCGAGCGAGGGTGAGGGTCAGGGCGAGGGCGAGGGTGAGGGCGAGGGCGAGGGTGAGGGTGAGGGTGGGAGTGATGTGGTCGCGGTGTCTGGTGTGGGACAGTACACGAGCTGCAGAGTTCTGAATGACCTGCAGTGTGGAGGGAGGGCCGGGAAGGACGGCGAGGAGAGAGTTCCCATAGTCCAGCCTTGAGGTGATAAAGGTGTGGACCAGAGTTTCAGCCGCGTGAGGGGTGAGGGAGTGCCGTAGTCTGGCGATATTCTGGAGGTGATGGAAGGCGGTGCCAGTTGTGGTGCGGATGTGAGGGAGAGAGGACAGCTCAGTCAATTCACTTTACACTTTACAGTATATTCTGTGAAGCGCTTTGAGACGTCTAGAAGATGTGATAAGGCGCTATATCAAATGCAAGGAGTATTATTATTATAATTAATGTAGCTTTGATGTGTTCTCTTTCCCTGTTATCTTCCCTTCACACACGTTCTTCCCTGCAAAGCACAACTCGAAGCTGTGATAAGGCGCAATATCAAATGCAAGGATTATTATTATTATGATCATTACTATTGTTATTGTTACGATCATCATTATTATTGTTATTATGATCATCATTATTATTATGATCATAATTATTATTGTTATTATGATCATTATTATTGTTATTATGATCATTATTATTGTTATTATGATCATTGTTATTATTGTTATTATGATCATTATTATTGTTGTTATTATGATCATGATTATTGTTATTATGATCATTATTATTATTGTTATTGTTATGATCATTATTATTATTGTTGTTATTATGATCATTGTTATTATTGTTATTATGATCATTATCATTATTGTTGTTATGATCATTATTATTGTTATTGTTATGATCATTGTTATTATTGTTATTATGATCATTATTATTGTTATTATGATCATTGTTATTATTGTTGTTATGATCATTATTATTGTTATTATGATCATTGTTATTATTGTTATTATGATCATTGTTATTATTGTTATTATGATCATTATTTTTGTTATTGTTATGATCATTATTATTGTTATTATGATCATTGTTAGTATTGTTATTATGATCATTATTACTATTGTTATTATGATCATTATTACTATTGTTATTACGATCATTGTTAGTATTGTTATTATGATCATTATTACTATTGTTATTATGATCATTATTATTGTTATTGTTATGATCATTATTGTTGTTATTATGATCATTATTACTATTGTTATTATGATCATTATTATTGTTATTGTTATGATCATTATTGTTGTTATTATGATCATTGTTAGTATTGTTATTATGATCATTGTTATGAACCCAATTTCCTTCCCATCTCCGGGGATAGACTACATCTCCCAGGATGCACGGCGAGGGCCGCGGCGGGCTCCGCGCACGCGCAGTGCCGGGGCGGCTGGTCCTATATAAGCCGCGCGGCGCCGCCCGCCCTCGTCCCTCTCGCCCGCCAGTCGCCATGTTGGGAGCAGTCGGTCGCTGCAGTCAGGGAGCGCTCCGGGCCCTCAGGCCTGGGCTCGGCGCCGCGCAGGCGGTCAGAGGGGCCCCCGCTGCACTTTACACCAGTAGGTACCTCCCTCTCCCTCCCTCCCTCCCTCTCTCTCCCCGGGGCGGGGTGTCAGGTCAGCCCCGCGGCTTAGGCCTGAAGCCGGGGCCTCGAGTTCAACACAGGCCTGAAGGGCGCGGCGCGGCTGATGAGTGAGGCGGTGACCCGGGGGGTGGGAGGGGAGAGTTTGCCCTCCACATCGCCCGCCCGCCCCCCCCCCCCCCCCCCAACTCCCTCCGCGGGCCTAGGCCTAAGCCTGGACCTGGAGTTGGTCAGGCGCCGCCGCCGTCGCCGCCACATTCCCCACGACGTGGTCAGGGCTGGAGCTGGCGGGAGGGGAGGGGAAGGGAAGGAGGCTCTGGCGATGCGGCCGCTCAGGAACCCGCCACGTCCTGGTGTGTGAGTGTCCGGGGCCTCGGCTGTCAGCAATGCCCTTCAGGCCCGCGGGCCGCACGGTCACCTTGAAGCTGACATGGCCGCCTGACTTCGGCGCGGCCTGTAATCATAATAATAATAATAATAATAATTCCTCATCCCCGCGTTTGATACGGTGCCTCATCACGTCTTCCAGATGCCTCAAAGCTCTTGACGGCATATACCGCGAAGTGTAGTGACTGTGTGTCCCGCGCTGAGCGCCTGCGAGGCTCCGGCAGAGAGGTTTCACAACACGATTCTTTCCTCTCTGCGAGGCCCGGGCTCTGGGCCTCCGGTGTTATTTGCCGCCGGGGCCGTGGCCAGATGTCCTCGGGGCTGTCGGCGGGCGTCCCTGCCGGAGGGGTGTTGCTGCAGTGAGCTGTTCCCCGCCCCACACGGGCTGTCGTGTTGTATTTGTTCCTCTCGACGGGTCCCTCCCCCGGAACGTGTGGTACCATATGAGGAGTTCCTCGTTCCTTTGAATCCAGACCGTGCGTTTGTGTGGGCTCCGTCCGGTCCGGGTGGATCCGTCAAGCTTGGCCTGTTGGCGATGCAGGTGCCGCGCTAGGTTTTGGGTTCGTATTCGGATTGGCCAACGTGCGCGCGATCAGCGGAAGGAAGTCACCGGCGGCAAAAGCGATGTCCCGTTTTGCGAGGACGAGTTGACGTCCTAATCGTGCTTTTTGCCGTTTCTTCTTCTCTGCGGGAGTGGCGGGTAACTAAAATTTCACGTTGCAGGAAGAAACTATGCCGCTCAGACTGCCGCCAAGCCAACTGGGCTCACGGTCAGATTGTCGCGGTCATCGGTGCTGTTGTGGATGTGCAGTTCGATGAGGGGCTTCCTCCAATTCTGAATGCCTTGGAGGTGGCCGGTCGGGACAGCAGGCTGGTGCTGGAGGTAGCTCAGCATCTCGGTCAGTACACAATGATTTACTTTGGATCCTTTTGAAATTACTGTCCCGTGAGTTTCTTTGTCTGCATCTTATTTTGCGGTCGTTGTGACGAACAAAATCCTGAGACAGTCATGCTCAATGTTTGCTTTTTCTTCCGACAATTAAAATAACAAGTGTTTAATCTGTGTAGGGGAGAGCACTGTACGTACAATTGCTATGGATGGTACTGAAGGGCTGGTGCGTGGGCAGAAAGTTCTTGACACAGGTGCCCCTATTAGAATTCCAGTTGGGCCAGAAACTCTCGGCAGGATCATGAATGTCATTGGCGAACCCATTGATGAGAGAGGACCAATCAACACCAAACAGTGAGTGTCTCCTGTTTAACACACTGTTAATAATCAGGAAATGATGTCTCCAGACTGGATTCAAGAGTGTTCGACCAACTGCAGTTTGATCCATTAACATGATTTTGTACGCTTTTGTTTCGCATCTAGTCACTCTGCCATCCACGCTGAAGCTCCCGAGTTTGTAGAGATGAGTGTGGAGCAGGAGATCTTGGTGACTGGTATCAAGGTGGTAGATCTGTTGGCTCCATATGCCAAAGGTGGTAAAATCGGTAAGTGGCTTATTGCTAAGCTGCAATTTCCAATTAACTCTAGATATTAAAATGAATGATGTGAATAGTGGCCATGATAGGTGACTGATTGCAAACTGAATGCTATTATACTTTATATTCTGAGTTTATGCATAATGCAGCAGTAACTGGATTTGAGGTATAGATCAGCCATAATCTTATAAAAGGATGGAACAGGCTCGAGGGACTGAATAGCCCACTTCTGTTTCTATCTCTATGTACCTGTTTTTACTTTGTAACGTGATCCTTTTTTTAGAGAATAACTTCCACCAAGTTACATTCAGGGCAAACGTGAATTCATTATTATTGCTGATTTCAAGTGAATTGTTCAAAAAAAATTCATCTTATAATAATAATCTTTGCATTTGATATACCGCCTTATCACATCTTCTAGACATCTCAAAGCGCTTCACAGAATATACGGTAAAGTGAATTGACTATATTTGTGAGTGAAATGTGGTAGTCAATTGCGCACGCCAGTGTCCAACAGTTGTGGATTGAGTGTCCAAATTATTTTTTTCTTGAGAGATTATCAGGCATGTGGAATAAGGAAACTTGTCCAAGGTTTCGCCCTGCCAGGAATCGAACCGAGGTCTCTCGCTTGCGATGCAAGTGCTCTAACCACTGAGCTCCACTGATGTGGGATTTACAGCTTGTTAGTGTTTTGTTATGGCTGTTTTTTAAAAAAAGTGAATCAATCGTTAATTCGTGGTGTGATAGGACAACTAATTGCAATAGCATTGATTGTACATTAACTTTACCCCAAATACATTTTTAAATTGAATTTTATACTGTGGATTATCACTCTGCAAGGATTATTATTTGGTAGCATCATCTTTAATTCTAAACTAACTAACTCTTTCTTTAGGACTGTTTGGCGGTGCTGGTGTGGGTAAGACTGTACTTATTATGGAATTGATCAACAATGTTGCCAAGGCCCACGGTGGCTACTCTGTGTTTGCTGGAGTGGGAGAACGCACCCGTGAAGGCAATGATTTATACCATGAAATGATTGAGTCTGGTGTCATCAACCTGAAAGATACAACATCCAAGGTAAATTGCCGAAAAAGATCTGCTGTTTGACTTTCTACTATAACATTGTGTGAATGCAGTAGTGTTGCCAGGAGTGCTAGAGATTCTCATTTAAAACTTCCTCGATGTTGCATGAATTAACCCACATAGTGGTTAGTAACTGAAAGGTAACTTTGTGCATTTGAAAGGGTTTTGATTTTTTACAATTATTTGTGAAGTTTACTATGTTAAGGCATAATTGTCCTGCCCCCTCTCCCCCCCACCCCCCGCCCACACACACACACACACGCACACAGCTGTGTAGCTGGAGAAGGTCTAACTTGTGCATGTCACTCTGTTTCCAGGTAGCGTTGGTGTATGGTCAGATGAATGAGCCACCTGGCGCCCGGGCTCGAGTGGCATTGACTGGGCTGACAGTAGCTGAGTATTTCCGCGATCAGGAAGGCCAAGATGTGCTGCTGTTCATCGACAACATTTTCAGGTTCACTCAGGCTGGCTCAGAGGTAAGCAAACGTTTTGAGCAACACATGGCCATGAATGCAAGATTTATAATACTTGCATGTGGGCACCACTTTGTATCTCAAAATGCTCGCTTGCTCTCCTCTGTCTTTCAGGTGTCTGCTCTGCTTGGCCGTATTCCATCTGCTGTGGGTTATCAGCCAACTCTGGCTACCGACATGGGTACCATGCAGGAACGGATCACCACCACAAAGAAAGGATCCATTACCTCTGTGCAGGTATAGAGTGAGTGTTGTGGGGTAGAATCACTTGGGTGATTTGCAAACGGTACGTTTTTGGCGATGCCTGATTCAGGAGACTTGCGTTTTCCTCTAGGCTATCTATGTGCCGGCTGATGATCTGACTGACCCTGCTCCCGCCACCACTTTTGCTCACTTGGACGCCACGACCGTGTTATCCCGTGCTATTGCGGAGTTGGGTATCTATCCAGCTGTAGATCCACTGGACTCTACTTCCCGTATCATGGACCCCAACATCGTCGGGAGTGAACACTATGAAGTGGCTCGTGGTGTGCAGAAGATCCTGCAGGTTTGTGTCATTTCTACCGTCAAAGCTTCATTTGCATTCTTGATCGTTTATAAATACCGTTTAACTTTAATCACAAAATTCTGATATAACTTGGGATCTTTCCAAAGTTAGTTAATTTCACATCATTGCAACATTTTCTTTGTAACTACAACTACAATGTTTCTGTGTTAAATGTAAAATGTTAAGAGCGATGAAGCTTTCTGCAGTTGGCATGTTAGTGCAGACTCTCCCAAGCTTGATTCACTGAGTCTCTTCTATTATGTTGGCTTTTGAGAAAGCAGTTTGACTTCCCTTTCATATGGCTCATCATGTGTTTGTAAATGTTGACCAGTTTTTAAATCTAGAACACCCATTTCTCTCTCTAGGACTACAAATCTCTTCAGGATATCATTGCAATCCTGGGTATGGATGAGCTGTCAGAAGAGGACAGGTTAACTGTGTCTCGTGCTCGTAAGATCCAGCGTTTCCTGTCCCAGCCATTCCAGGTTGCTGAGGTCTTCATCGGACACAAAGGAAAACTGGTGCCCCTCAAGGATACGATCAAAGGATTCCAGATGATTCTTTCTGGTGAGTATACTATTTATTTAAATTATCAACTAGGTAAGATGAACCTACTATGGATTGTGTGTGTGTTGAACTTTTACTTAATTTCCCATTGTTTTCTGCAGGTGAATATGATCATTTACCTGAGCAAGCCTTCTACATGGTTGGTCCTATTGAAGACGTTGTTGCTAAGGCTGAAAAATTGGCAGAAGAGCACTCTTAGATTAACATTGTAACATCAGTGATCAGTTGTAATGTAAACTTGTATGAATGGCTTCAGATCATTGTCTTTGTGACAAACTGCAAGATGTTATTTAATGTTTCTAATGTGGAAAGATGGAAAATAAAACTTCCAACACTTTTGATGGCTTCAAATAGTGGCTTCAGTAACACTTTGAAATATTAAAACTTTAAGTAGATTGATCTCTTGAATGGATCTTCTCAAACTGGAATTAGCGATGTAGTGGTGTGTATTCCATCAGATTTAAAATGCCAATATCACATCGTCAAAATATCTTAGAATAGAATTAGAGCACATAAGAGCCTAATCAAACATTGATACAACATATATATACGTATACATATATATACTTCTGTTACAGCAACCAATTTAGTCCAACAAATCTTCGTGATTGATGTAGATTCTTAACATGTCTTTCTTGTCGTTTGTGGTATCTTCACTATGACTAATAAGAGAAAACAGACTTGATTTTAATTGTACTGATAAATCGATGCCCATACTTTGCTAAATCTGACAGCTGGATACTTCCTTTATTTTTAAGTGGCCGAAATGGAACAGAAGAAAGTGACGGAAAACAGAAAGCGTAAAGAAACTGAACTCCAGGATACATTGCAGACACTGAGCAAGGAGAAAAAAGAACTTCTGCAGCTTTGCATGGACAGAGGGAAAATTATTCAGGTTCTGTCGTTGGCAGGGATAAATAGAAATTAGTACATATTGATGGGAGGAAAATAATCTCTGGATCATGTCAGGCGATTAAACTGCATATCAAGAATACATGTGAAAAAAAAAGCAAAAGATCATTTTCTGTTTCTTGGTGCAAGAGATTATTGCTGATCGGCAGATCAATTCTGAGACATTACGTTTGTAAGGCCTAATTTTTGCATTCTTGTGATTTTTCTTGGCTGAATTAGGACAGGCAAAGAGATATTCAGGAACTTGAGGACAAATTAAGAAAAGCCAAAAAAGCATGTAAAGATGCTGAAGAAAGGTAAGGATAAAATATTATCCATTTGGCATTAGCCCCAACATGGATTTATCTTAAGATTTCTTAAAAAGTAACTGTGAAATGTTGCAATTTACAGTAGTTTCACCATGTACCTATTGGGATTAGAGGGATCGCACGCCACTCACATTATCCCCTACAAGATACAACAATCCTAGCATTAGTATAATAAACATGAACCCTCATCCGAACATTCCACTGCACTGACCCTCAAGGAGCTGAAGCACCACACCAGTTGGGAATCATATACTGCCTCTACCAGATTTAGTATTTGTAACGTGAAATAATCAGTTGTTTAACAAGACTTAGTTTGGGTTAGAAAATGCTGCACGTTTTACACATTTCGTTTCAGCAGCAATTTCGTTATTTCAGATTTAATTACGATGCTACAATGGTAAACACAAATCTCAAAATCAAGGGATTACAACTGCACCTTAACAGATCTGAGCAAGCTATACTGACCTGAAAAAGGTAAACATAAATGCTTGTTTTCAGTACCAAACCTTTCAATTCCCGTTTTTCTGTCTCTCATCTCCCCTCCTCTCCAGAAAGTACTGATCTGTATGGCTAGTTTCACCTGCATTTCCAAGTAATTTAACTTATGCAATTAACCATTCTTCATCTCTGAGCCCAAACAATTAATGTTAACAGCCTTTTTAACTATGGAGAGGTGGGGGGGGGTTATTGTTGTTTCAGTCTACAATCAAATTATTCCCTTCATTTACAGGAATTTGAAGCCTTTAAGAAACATAGCATTGACCTACTAACAACAGAACAAGAACTGAATGCCGCAATACGCCACCGGATTGCTTGATGCCATTTATCAGCACAGTATATTGCTGTCAAAAGTCCAATAGGTCTCTTGATATCAACACATTGATTAATTGTACCTAAATACACATAATGCCAAGTTATAATTATTCTAGTTGAACAGCACATTGTGGGCAACTCATTGCTCAAGCCATATTTCATCTAGTCTTCATTTGAAACTGATGACAAATTTCCAAACCCCCGAAGGTAGGTCAGCTTGAGCCACTTTTTAAAAAATATTGTTCTTTGAGCAACCTAATTCAATGACAACTTGCATTTTTATAGCATTTATTGCATATTGTAGCATTTCAAAGTCCTTAATTCTCCCATTTTATGAAAAAACCTTACTTTGGTTTTAGTGTAGCACAAAATACCAATACAAAAATATCTTAAGGCCAAACAAAGTCAATGAATATAAATGGACTACATGATGACTGAAGAATCTTAAGGATGGGAGAGGATTTTTCCATTTGAATAGCTTGGTTGGTTAACTTAAAATACAAACCGCCCAAATAGTTGTTCAAGTGGACTTATCCAAGGCAAGATTCAGCAGTGAAGATATACACTTTCAATATGTGGAACTTAAATGTAGCGCAGTGGTGCAGTTGGAAAAATAAACTTATGCTTGGAATTAGTTGTTGGTTATGTCCAGGTGTTGGACAATTGTACACGCATTCTTTTGTTAAAGATGGGAGTCAGTATTTCTGGATTCTGTATTGGAACAAGTTGCTTTATCCAGACTTGCTCTTTTGCTCAGTCCTTGATATATACAATGCCTTAACACATAAAGAAATTTCAAAGCAACAGTCAATTTGTACCCAGCAATATCCCACAATCAGCCACAATGTAAATGATTAATTTTTCTCATCTAATTAATTAGATTAATGATCCCACACAACTCCAGGAGAAACAGCCTTCACTTTTTAAAATAGTAAGATGAGATCTCTGCTCACATGCAGTTATTTTAATTCCCATCCCCATAGAAAGGTTGCAGGTTCAATGCAAAAGCCTGTGATCTATCAAGTCACACATTGATTGAAACAAACGCGTGTGGAATTATGAAAGAAAATAATTCCAGTTTGAGAAGATCCATTCAAGAGATCAATCTACTTAAAGTTTTAATATTTCAAAGTGTTACTGAAGCCACTATTTGAAGCCATCAAAAGTGTTGGAAGTTTTATTTTCCATCTTTCCACATTAGAAACATTAAATAACATCTTGCAGTTTGTCACAAAGACAATGATCTGAAGCCATTCATACAAGTTTACATTACAACTGATCACTGATGTTACAATGTTAATCTAAGAGTGCTCTTCTGCCAATTTTTCAGCCTTAGCAACAACGTCTTCAATAGGACCAACCATGTAGAAGGCTTGCTCAGGTAAATGATCATATTCACCTGCAGAAAACAATGGGAAATTAAGTAAAAGTTCAACACACAAACAATCCATAGTAGGTTCATCTTACCTAGTTGATAATTTAAATAAATAGTATACTCACCAGAAAGAATCATCTGGAATCCTTTGATCGTATCCTTGAGGGGCACCAGTTTTCCTTTGTGTCCGATGAAGACCTCAGCAACCTGGAATGGCTGGGACAGGAAACGCTGGATCTTACGAGCACGAGACACAGTTAACCTGTCCTCTTCTGACAGCTCATCCATACCCAGGATTGCAATGATATCCTGAAGAGATTTGTAGTCCTAGAGAGAGAAATGGGTGTTCTAGATTTAAAAACTGGTCAACATTTACAAACACATGATGAGCCATATGAAAGGGAAGTCAAACTGCTTTCTCAAAAGCCAACATAATAGAAGAGACTCAGTGAATCAAGCTTGGGAGAGTCTGCACTAACATGCCAACTGCAGAAAGCTTCATCGCTCTTAACATTTTACATTTAACACAGAAACATTGTAGTTGTAGTTACAAAGAAAATGTTGCAATGATGTGAAATTAACTAACTTTGGAAAGATCCCAAGTTATATCAGAATTTTGTGATTAAAGTTAAACGGTATTTATAAACGATCAAGAATGCAAATGAAGCTTTGACGGTAGAAATTACACAAACCTGCAGGATCTTCTGCACACCACGAGCCACTTCATAGTGTTCACTCCCGACGATGTTGGGGTCCATGATACGGGAAGTAGAGTCCAGTGGATCTACAGCTGGATAGATACCCAACTCCGCAATAGCACGGGATAACACGGTCGTGGCGTCCAAGTGAGCAAAAGTGGTGGCGGGAGCAGGGTCAGTCAGATCATCAGCCGGCACATAGATAGCCTAGAGGAAAACGCAAGTCTCCTGAATCAGGCGTCGCCAAAAACGTACCGTTTGCAAATCACCCAAGTGATTCTACCCCACAACACTCACTCTATACCTGCACAGAGGTAATGGATCCTTTCTTTGTGGTGGTGATCCGTTCCTGCATGGTACCCATGTCGGTAGCCAGAGTTGGCTGATAACCCACAGCAGATGGAATACGGCCAAGCAGAGCAGACACCTGAAAGATAGAGGAGAGCAAGCGAGCATTTTGAGATACAAAGTGGTGCCCACATGCAAGTATTATAAACCTTGCATTCATGGCCATGTGTTGCTCAAAACGTTTGCTTACCTCTGAGCCAGCCTGAGTGAACCTGAAAATGTTGTCGATGAACAGCAGCACATCTTGGCCTTCCTGATCGCGGAAATACTCAGCTACTGTCAGCCCAGTCAATGCCACTCGAGCCCGGGCGCCAGGTGGCTCATTCATCTGACCATACACCAACGCTACCTGGAAACAGAGTGACGTGCACAAGTTAGACCTTCTCCAGCTACACAGCTTTGTGTGTGTGTATGTGTGTGTGTGTGTGTGTGGGCGGGGGGTGGGGGGGGGAGAGGGGGCAGGACAATTATGCCTT